CTCACCATCCCTCACCCATACCTCAAGCCCAGCTCTCTCCCGCAGGCAGTCTCTGCCAGTCAGGCCAGGCCTGAGCTTGTTCTCTGCATGTCTGAAGCAGGGAGTCCTAAAAGGAAATATTGCTCTCATTCCAAAGTTGCTTCATCTTCATGGGCAAAGACAGAAAAAAAAAAAAAAAAGTAGAGGAAGGTAAATGCAGCAACTCTGAGAAATCTTAGTTGATTATTTACTGTTGTTTAACCTTCGAAAGATTCCACTGCAGAAAGGGAGGGCAGGTATTTATACAGTTCCTAGCCCAGGTCACTTCTCTTTGGTTCTAGGCCAGTTAGCTTGAGCTCATTTGCAAGGAGGCTAATTCTAGGACCCCTTTCGTTTCCCAGAATACCTCACAGTGGACACCCAAAGCAGTCGACTTGCTAACAAGGCTGAAGGAGTTAGGTTTTACATCATTCCTGAATTATTGATGGTGCTTTGCAAATTAGCTTTTCCTGTGCCCATGACTCTCCTTAGCTAATCTTTACAACATATAAGACAGTTGTCAAAACTGTTTTGAAATATGATTCTGGGGTTTCAGAGTACCGTTTCATGGGTCTTGAGTTTTCAGAACAAATCTCTGTGCAGAGATAGGAACTATTCTGCTTAATATTATTATTATTAATTATCTAAAGCAATTACTCAAAATACCTAAATGCAATTTGCAGAGTAGTCAGGTAATAACACCATGTAGAAGCTCATGTTAAGGGCTACCATTTCAAAGAATGTAGGGAACACTATCCACTTTTCTCAGGGTCCTTAGAAAAATATAGTAAGTGAAAATAAAGGCCGGGCATGGTGGTTCATGCCTGCAATCCTAGCACTTTGGGAGGCCAAGGCGGGGGCCTCATCTGAGGTCAGAAGTTTGAGACCAGCCTGGCCAACATGGAGAAATCCCGTCTCTATTAAAAATACAAAAATCAGGGCCAGGTGCAGTGGCTCATGCCTGTAATTGCAGCACTTTGGGAGGCCGAGGTGGGCAGATCACTTGAGGTCAGGAGTTCGAGACCAGCCAGGCTAACATGGTGAAACCCGGTCTCCACTAAAAATACAAAAAAATTAACGAGGCGTGGTGGTACATGCCTGTAATCCCAGCTACTCGGGAGGCTGAGGCAAGAGAATTGCTTGAACCTGGGAGGTGAAGGTTACAGTGAGCCAAGATCACACCACTGCACTCCAGCCTAGGCGACAGAGCAAGACTCCATCCCTAAAAAAAAAAAGTAGAATGGTTTATTATACACAAGAGGCAAATGCAAAATGACACATGGTAAACGGACTGAACCAAATGCCAAAAATAACAATGCACTCTTTTCTTTTTTTCATCCAATAAGAAGCCTTAACTTTATTTATGATAGGAGCAGTACAAATTTCAAACCAAGCTGCAGTCACTCATTTGAGACACCAAAAAAAGTTGCTCTCAGATGGTTACGTTGTTAATTCCATAATAGCATTTACAATATTATTACTGTGTTCTTTAGGGCTCTGACTGCCTTTGCTCTCCACACATTCCCTTGAGACTTGACCAATTTATGTCCTTCACTTCTACACCTGTTTCATCAACTTTGTATTCTTCACTCTCCTTTTGTACTGTTGGAGTCTGTGTGTTTTCTTGAATGTTTGAGACAACTTCAGCTTGAACTTTGAATTTCTCAGCAGCTGCTGCTTGTGCTGGCTGAGATAAATCTTCGATCTTGGCTTCCCCCAAAACTATATAGGTATCTGAAGCAGGGCTCTTATAGACATCTGGTTTTGTGATGACAAAGAGGATATTCTTAGATTTCCGGATAGTGACTCTAGTAACCCCCGTAACCTGTTGAAGACAGGTTTGGACATAGCCTTCTGTGTCTTCTTTTCACTCCAACTCTGTTTTGCTTTACTGACTGGTTCTTCATCAATTTCAGCTGCTGCCGCCACAATGCACCCTTTATTATGGCTATACCAGTTAGGAAGAGCAGTTGGATGCAAACCACAGAGGTACAACAAGCAGCTAAAGAAAATCAATGGTTACTATCACACCTAAAAAAGTCTGAAGGTATGCAGTCCTCTGTCTTTTGTATCTGCCATCCTTAACCTCATGACCCAAGAAGGAGGCTGGAGCCCTAGTCATAGCATCCATATCCCAGAAAAGAAAATGGGAAAAAAGACAAAAGGGGTAGGCCAGGCAAGGTAGCTCATGCCTGTAATCCCAGCACTTTGGGAGGCCAAGGTGGGTGGTTCGTTTGAGGCCAGGAGTTCGAGACCAGTCTGGCCAATATGGCAAAACCCCGTCTCTACTAAAAATATAAAAATTAGCCAGGTGTGGTGGCACACACCTGTAATCCCTGCTACTCAGGGGGCCAAGGCAGGAGAATCACTTGAACCCAGGAGGCAGAGCTTGCAGTGAGCCAAAATGGCGCCAGTGCACTCCAGTCCGGGTGACAGAATGAGACTCGGTCTCAACAACAACGGCAACAACAATGAAATGTTCATTATTTACTGAAATTCTAATTTAAGTGTCCCTTATTTGATCTGGCAACCCTGACCACCCAACATCTCCTGGGATTTCATTAGCCACCCCTACTGCGAGGGAGGATGAAAAATGTAGCCTTTTAGCCAGGCACTTTCCCATGCTGCAGTTATTCTACTAAGGAAGACATGGAGAGTGAATATTGGGTAAGGAGTCAACAGTCTTTGCAGGAGTGAGGGTGGTTCTGGGAAAAAGTGACAGAGCCACATCCACGCCCCATGCCCTCTGTGAAGAATTTCTTGACTGCATCAGCCTCTTGTGGTCACTGTGACCTCTGAAAGCCTATGGCCTTTTTTTGTCTTAGTTCTATTAATAGATACAAAGTAAAGATACTGATTTTTAATTAACACATAAGAACTGATGTATTCAGGTGGCTACTGTCTTCTTCAAAGGGTTAATCACACAATATTGCCATGTTTAAAAACACCTTTAGAACTCAGATCTGGTAGAAACAGAAGTCTCCCTTTACAAGGCATACAGGAAGCTGCAGGCTGTAGGCAGGGCCAGGGATGTGTTGGAAATTTGCTGACTCTGAGTGCTTCAACACATTGCATTCTATGTCAAACTCATGCCATTCCTCATAGAAAGACCAATTTCAAATGTCCTCGCTCATATGGGAAAGCTGAAAATTAAAACAACCAAACTCATGGAGATAGAGAGTAGAATGATGGTTACCAGAGGCTGGGAAGGGTAGCAGGGAGCAAGGGGAAAAAATGGGAATGGTTAATGGCTGCAAAACTATAGTTAAATAAGATCTGGTATTTGACAGCACAACCAGGCGACAACAGTCAACCATAATTTACTGTATATTTTTAAATTGCTAGACTGGATATGTGGCTTATACTTGTAATCCCAGCACTTTGGAAGGCCGAGGTAGGAGGATCACTTGAGCCCAGGAGTTTGAGACCAGTTTCGGCACCACAGGGAGACCTCTTCTCTTGGAAACGTTCAAAAATTAGCCAGGCATGGTGGTGCATCAGCCTCTTGTGGTCACCATGGCCTCTGAAAGCCTATGGCCTTTTTTGTCTTAGTTCTATTAATAGAACTACATGGGAGGCTGAGGCCGGAGGATCACTTGAGCCCAGGAAGTCAAGGTTGTGGTGAGCTGTGATCTTGCCACTGCCCTCTAGCCTGGGCAACAGAGCAAGACTCTGTCTCTCAAAAACAAACAAAAATGAAACTAAAATAGTAGAATTGGGATGTTCCTAACAAAAAGACATAAGTGCTTGAGGTGATGGACACCCCAATTACCATGATGTGATGATTATGCACCACATGCATGTATCAGAACATCACAAGTACCTCCACCATGAATACCTACACGTATTATGTCCCCATAATAATCAAAAATAAAAAATAAAAACTTACACCATTTCTCCCCAGAGCCTTCTCCTACCTTTGCAGAAATATAAGATTATCTTCCAGGATATCAACAGCTCTGGCCAGTGGGGACCGGACTGATGAGAAGCACTGGTTTAGGAAACCGACCTTGGAAAGCTCATGGCCTCTCATAACTCAGTCATCTGTGTTCTGATCAATATCACTAAAGCATGGTTTGTACTCTGTGGTATGTCCTAGAATAAAGGTAGGGAACAATGGAGGAAAACAGGCCTGAATTAAAATGTTCTCCATGTTTCTCTCCAAAAATTCCAACTCGGAAGTCCCTTTTGCCTGATAGTGACTGCTTACAGTTCCTACCCAATGTAAACTACACCTCCATGTGTTTTTCCCCTGGCTTTTACCTGGCTGAACTTGGGATGTTTTATCAGGGTCCGTCTGTACCTCCTATGACACCCAGTCACATCCAACCTATCCTCAGGTCCCTTCCCCAAATTAATTCTGTAGCCCACTGACTTCCAACAGTAGGGTCAAAATTATTTTTCTACGATTAAGCCTTAATAACATCACTTATATGTTTCATCTTTTCCTGGAAGGCTACTGGGTAAAAATATTTTCATGCAGGTGCTGATAATAGTAAACACATTATATATCTTCAGCCTGGGGTTTAACCACATTCATTTCTGGGTTTGTCATATGCTCTCTCGCTATTTATACTGCTTTGGGTCAGCTACTTGATACTTAATAAAATTTGCCTCCAAGCTGTCCTGCAGGGAAAATGACCTATCTGGGGGGAATGCTGTTCCAACTCTATAACCTCTGATGATTACCCAATAGTCCTCCAAAAAGGTTGCAGGGCAGGAGCAAGGGAAGGTCCATGCCACTTCCTGGCATTTAATGGCAACAAGTGCTTTAGTGTAAGTATAATTATATCCCCTGCTTTCAGGAGGCCTTTCCAGCCAGCCTCTCGGACACGGGAGCAACCGTAGATGGCTTGAGCAATGTGGAAATTCGGCCTCTGCTCAAGGTCAGAACAAGCCGTTCGCCAGCGTTGATTTTACCAACCTTTCGGTTATTTTGGAAAGCCGAAAGAGAACGCAACAGAGGCAAGAATGGATCTATGGGATGGAAATAATGAGCCATTTATAACCCAAAATGAGACTGCCAGGAAAAACAAACACACAAAAAAGTACATTTTATCAGAGGCTTGGGCTGCCCAAGGCTATTGGGGTGCAAAGTACTGCATGTTCAGCTCCCTGGGCCAAGAGCTACAGTAAGTCAGGCCCCCTGCAAAGCTCCTCTCCTGTCAGCCTCATCAAGCAGCCTTAGCCACCTGGTGGAGAGGAGCTTTAGTGTTTTTAAAGTGTGTGCTGGGTGGATGTTTCACATTTTTGGTAAAGATGTGGAGTCATGTTGCAACACTTAAGTGCTTCTGCGTAAAACTTGCGCAATTCTGACAGGTACTGGGTTCCTCGCATCGGTGGCATCCTCCGCTCACATACGGCTGATGTAATGTGTGATCAGGCCCCCCAGGTTTCTCCTTGTAGCCTTTCAAAAAATTTCAGGCTCTGAACTTGGCCCTGGTTTCCGGCAGTTCTTTGCTCCAAAGGTGCATGGAATGGCTCAGCTGTCAGCACCTGCTGGTGAGATACAGAAAAGTGCCACGGGTTGATCTTTCTCTGGCACCAGCACAAAGGAGGCTGGCGATGGTCCCCAGATGGCCTTGGCCTGCCCTGAGGCACCCTATAGGGAAGGAGAATGAGGGCTGTTCATCTAAGGAAGAGTAGGTCAGAGGATTGAACCGGGGCTGCTACCAATAGGTAACAAACATGAAAAGGATTTCCCCAAAGCAAAACTTTCTAGCCAGAGCAGCAGCACAGTGAATGGTTTACTCACAGCTCCTTTGTCTGCTAATTGGAGATTTGGCGCTGTGCTTGCCTCTTGGGCTTACCTGAGCAAAGTTATACAGTAGGTCAAGTGTTTGATGCCTTCTCACCTCCAGTCACTGTACTGGCACCCGCCTCCGTGCCTGGCTTCTGTTTCCATCCAGGCTTCCATCCACTCAACAAAGCTTTCAGGCACCTGCTCTATGCCAGGTGCTGTGCCAAGTGCTGTGCACCAGGCAGGGCTTTCTCAACACCTGGTGGCCCCCTGTGGTGCGCTGGGCCAGTCCTAACACGGGCCTCCTCTCCAGTGTCACTCTCAGCCCCACCATGTCCCAAAATTACCCTCCCTGCATTCATTTCCTATGACTCTTTTCCTTTCTTCAACCTTAGGGGTGGGACTATTTCTTTAGAGTTTTTATCATAGAAATCCAACACATTTTATTTTTATAAAAGAATTGTTCTTGGTAGTCACAGATTTCTCCCTGTGGAATCTGAGTTTCTGCAGATTAAAAAGTGATGATGTGAGCTGGGCACTGCAGGTGGTGCCTGTAATCCCAGCTACTTGGGAAGCTGAGGCAGGAGGATCACTTGAGTCCAGGAGTTCGAGACCAGCCTGGGTAACACAGAGAGACCCCCCATCTCTAAAACATTAATTAATTAATGCTAATTAATTAATTAATTAAAAATGGTGGCACGAAGAAACAATGTCCTCCATGGAATGAACAAGGCATTAATTGAAAAATGTGAAACAGGAAGGAACAAGGGAGTAATACATTGTCTGAGCAGAATCTCTACAATTTCACCAGGTAGACAAGTTGCCCCTTTCACCTCTCCATTTATTGTTGGTAAGCTGTATGTGTAATGGTTAAGGAGACAAATTCTGGAGCTGGACTACCTGGGGATTCAGATCCCAGCTCTGCAGGTTATAATTTAAGAAAGCTATTGATATTTGTTTCTTAATTTCTTCATACAAAAAGAGGGATGGTAGAAATATCTGAGCACATCTCACAGAGTGGCTTAGGGATTAACATAAATTAATATGTATGAAATTTTTATAACACTGGGACGCACAGTAAGCACTCTATAAATATTAACCTTGATTTTTCATGAAGGCAACTCTATGCTGTCTACTTTGCAATCAGATTCTCAAGGCAGTTACTGCATTCGAAAGACAGAAATTGTTATTTGGCCTGCAGTTTCCACATCTGCAAAGTAGGAAGAAATGACTGAATAAAGACGTGGGGGCGGAGGCTGCGTTCCGGTCTGTGATCTCCACTCGCTTTGCGACCTTGGATAACTCACTCACTCTGTCTGCATCCTGGAGATTGCACTTGATCTGAATTTCCCAAACTCAGGTCATTCAAATAACACTTAGAGAATCTTTACCATAGTCCAGTCCACTCTCCTGTTCTCAGCTACTACCTTGATGTTTTCCTTTAGATAATCCTTAAATCAATTCACTTTCATATGTAGCCTCACAGGAAGCAGTAATATCCATGTATGCAAGAGTCTGATATGCTACAGATTTTTCTATTTATTTATTTATTTATTTATTTATTTTGATAGCGTCTTGCTATGTTGTCCAGGCTGGCCTTGAATCCCTGCCTGGGCTCAAGCAATTCTCCCGAGTAGTTGGGACTACAGGCATGTGCCACCACAGAGGGCGTGATACGCTGTCGATTTTTCTAATGCATGTTAACATGAATGCCTAATGAAAGTTTTAAACGTTTGTATAATACCCAAATCATCTTGCATCCTATCAGTGAGATGAGGACAACATTTCTGGAAACTCTGGATCAAATGTTCCCTCTGGATCCAGGCAACTCTAAAATCTATAATGTTATACCATGTTCATTCAGCTTGTTATTTAACTTAGGGTATGTTTCTTTATACCATTTGCCTCCTTGAGAGCTCAGACTGTGGCTTACACCTCTTTGGGCATGTAGCATGTAGAAGAGTGCTTGATAAATCTGTATTTAATGTTAAACAATAAGCACACCATACATACATACAAATATATCCATTGCCTACTCACCCCCAGACCCCATCCACTGCCAAAACGCTCGTTTCTTTCTCTCCACCTCAGTGTCACCGTGTTCCTCTAGTGGCTGTTCATAAATGAATTGAAGCATGTGGCGATCCAGGCCTTGTGCGGGCACTCGGGAAATGTCACCTTTCCTGACCCCCTTCCCTCTTCCTGTGCCTCTTTGTTCATGAGCTGCCGTTCGTGTTTGTCCGTGTGGAAAGTGGGCCCACTTCCCAAGGAGTTTAGAGCCCAGGCCCCTGGGTCAGAATCATTGTTGTCTTTAGTTTCAGCCCTAAAAGAGGTTCCGTTGCCAGGTCCAGAAATGTCTAATCTAAGGAAAAAAGAAAGTATACTTCTAAAAGGTATTATTAAAGAGATCTTGAACAACTGTCTGGTGATTTCTTAAAATCCATCAGCAAAAATGGAATACACACCCACAGTATCATGACACCACTGTGGGTTCACAGTCTGAGCAATTTCACAACCAACCAGCATTTACTAAGCACCTGCTTGACCCCTCTGTGTGTCCGTAACCTTGGGAGACACAGATCTGAATGAGGCTACCTATTAGACCATGAGACTAGAAGAGACTCAAAGACTGAACACCTTGAAAGCAAGGAATATGTCTCCATCTTTGCCTCCCCAAGGGCTCAGCAAAGCATTACGCATGTGGTAGCTATGCATTAAATATTTGATCCATAAATGAACAAATGGATGAATGACACCGCCCCAACACTGAAGGAGCTTACAGTCTGTTTGAGAAGAGAGAAGCCATAGATAAACGATGGGTGAATTAACAATAAACTCCACATTGCAAGAGAGAACACTGGCTAATGAAAATGTCTAAATGAAGGGGGTGCTGTCGTTTACTTTCCCCCAAAACACCAAATGTTGATTCAGCCGCAGGTCTCAAAAAAGAATGTGTGTTGTTCACTCTTCTGTACTTTCATTTTTCTGCACGTGAGCCCAACTTTAGAAGGAAATTGCTAGGTTGTTGTTATGTGACTGATTTTTTTAAAATTAATTAATTTATTTATTTATTTTTGAGATGGAGTCTCGCTCTGTCACCCAGGCTGGAGCACAATGGCACAATCATGGCTCACTGCAACCTATGCCTCCTGGGTTCAAGCAACTCTCCTGCCTCAGCTTCCCCAGTAGCTGGGATTAAAAGCACGTGCCACCATGCCCAGCTAAGTTTTGTAGTTTTAGTAGAGACAGGGTTTCACCATGTCGACCAGGGCTGGTCTCGAACTCCTGACCTCGTGATCCACCCGCCTGAGCTTCCCAAAGTGCTGGGATTACAGGCGTGAGCCACCGCACCCAGCCCATGTGACTGATTTCTAAAGGCCACCAACCTTGTTGGCTCCTGGGAATGAGCAGGGTATTATTTAAAGTAAATAAATCAGCTAGTGTTTATCCTTCCATGCATTCTTCAGTCATCCACAGGCAGAGAAAAGTGGCAATTATGACATTTTTAGAGCTATGAAGTTGGAATATACAAGAGAAGCTGAAAGCTTTCAATTAATGATTTCTTAGGCTTTAAGTCAGGGTGACCCTTCAACAAAAAAGGGCTTTAGCCACCACTTGCTGGGGAGAGGTGCTGGGCTTTCTACACAACTCTCTGGGACTCCAAATTGTCAGCATAAAAACAGCAGCCCAAATCAACGTTCTCTATTATTCATTAGTTACCGAAATACTTTTCCCAAATATACACATAGCTGAAAGATACCTTCTTTCAAAACGTTTTAAACCATTTTTAGCCCATGAATCTTAGTCCATCTTTAAAGGGCACCCATTTTTTTTCAATCCACATATTTCAGTCGATTTCACTGGGCACTGATACCATCACCAGCAAAACCCTAATTAATTGGGAAGAATGACATTTCCATTAAAATTCTTTTTGAAAAATGATTTAGGCACCTGGCTGATAAAAATTTCAAACAGGGCAAAACAATATGGAGTGGAAAGAAAACTTCTATCGACCTCTGGAACCCAGTCTCCCAATCTTTTTCATAGAAACATTCAGTGTTAAATTTCTTGGGTATCCTTCTAGAAATAGTCTATGTATCCATAAGTGCACACACACACAAGAAGTCTTTTAAAAGTTTATGGAAAATGCATATTATGAAAAACCTAAGCATGGATTTTCATTTTTCTTGCACCAAAATAAACTCATACTAACCTGTTATAACATGTCTGGACAGAATCTAGTTGAGGCAGTAAGAAGGATAAGACTTCAGTTTGAAAAGCGCCTCTGTCAGAGCAACATGAATTCTGCTAAAATTGAAGCAAGAACAAACTTCAAATCTAGGGTGAAGCTTGGATGGAAGAATAGTGAAATCATTGAAACTGCACAAAAAGTGTATGGGGACACTGCCCCAAAGAAATCAACAGATTACACATGGCTAATTCATTTTAAGAAGAGATGACACAGTGTTTAAGATGAAGCCCACAGTAGCAGACCATTCGCATATATTTTCGAGGAAAAAGTTAGTATTGTTGGCTCACGTCTATAATCTCAACACATTGGGAGGCCAAGGTGGGAGGATCACGTGAGCCCGGGAGTTTGAAACCAACCTGGGCAACATAGTGAGACCCCCATCTCTACACAAAATTTAAAAATTAGCCAAGTGTGGTGGCACAGGCCTGTAGTCCCAGTTACGTGGGAGGCTGAGGTGGCAGGATCACCTGAGCCTTGGAGGTCAAGGCTGCAGTGAACCACTATTGTGCTACTGCACTCCAACCCGGGCAACAGAACAAAACCCTGTCCCCAAAATAATAACAATAATAATAATATTGTTTGTGCCCCAATTACAGAGGACTGACAGTTAGTAGCATAAACCTAATTATAAACATAATCAGCATAAGCCTAATTATAGCCAACACCAAAGACATCACAGTTGGTTCAGCTTACACAATTCTGAAAGAAAAATTAAAGTTGAACAAACTTTTCACTGGAAAGGTGACAAAGTCACTGCACTCAGATCAGCTGTAGACAAGAGCAGAGCTTTCAGTGGAATCTTTAAAGAAGTGGGATCAAGATCCTGAAGCATTTCATTGAAGGATTGCAATAGGAGATGAAACACGGCATTACCAGTATCATCCTGAAGACAAAGCCCAGTCAGAGCAATGACTACCAAGAGGTGGAAGTCGTTCGGTCAAAGCAAAGGCAGACTGATCAAGAGCAAAGGTCAGGGTAACAATTTTTGGAGATTCTCAAAGCATTGCTGTTGACTTTCTGGAAGGCCAAAGAATGATAACATCCGCTTCTTATGAGGGTGTTTTGAGAAAGCCAAAACTTTAGCAGAAAAACTCCAAGGAAAGCTTCACCAGAGAGTCCCTCTCCACTGTGACGATACTCCTGTTCATTTGTCTCATCAAACGAGGACGATTTTGTGAATTTCAGTGGGAAATCGTTAGACATTCACCATACAATCCTGATTTGACTCCTTCTGACTTTTTTTTTTTCCTAATCTTAAGAAATCTTTAAAGGATACCCATTTTTCTTCAGTTAATAAGGTAAAAAAGATTACATTGGTATGGTTAAATTCCCAGGACCCTCAGTTCTTTAGGGATGCACGAAATGGCTATCACTGCTTACGAAAGTGTCTGGAACTTGTTGGAGCTTATGTTGAGAAATAAAGTTTATATTTTTATTTTTATCTTTTAATTTTTTCCATAAACTTTTTGAAGTCCCCTAATGCAGCAGTCACCAACCTTTTTGGCACCAGGGACCAGTTTCGTGGAACACCATTTTTCTACGGACAAGCGTGGGTGGAGGATGGTTTTGGGATGAAACTGTTCCATCTTAGATCATCAGGCATTAATTCGATTCTCATAAGGAGTGCACAACCTGGATCCCTCACATGGGGCAGTTCACAACAGGGTTCACACTCCCGTGAGAATCTAACGCCCGCTGATCTGACAGGAGACAGAGCTCGTTCGCTTGCCTATTACCTTCTGCTGTACGGCCTGGTTCTTAATAGGCCATGGACCAGTAGCAGTCTGCTGCCTGGGGACTGGGGCCCCCTGCCCTAGTGTGTGTGTGTGTGTGTGTGTGTGTGTGTGTGTGTGTGTGTGGTGTGTGCGTATTCCCCTCCCCTTCCTTACATATACTCTTACATTCTTCATTGAAACTTAACAGATATTGTGAAGTTTGCTGCAAATCTGTACAGCTGCACTATATTTCATAATATGACTGTCCCATAATTTGCCCAGCCTCTTCTGAATAGACATAATGGTGGTTTTCAGTTTTTTGCCTCCACAAACATACTTTTGCATATATGTATGAATAGGACTACAGAATCAATTCCTTAAAGTGGAATTACAGAATCAAGAGGATATGTGAGTTTTCATTCTAATAGACATTGCCAAATGGTGACACTTAACTTTTGATAAGAACTGCCAAAAGTAAAGTATTTGTTCATGCCAGAAACAAGAGTGAAGATAGCATTTTATTTTAAATTTTAATACCTCAGGCAAGCAAGTAGCATATTTATTCATGAAACTCATTTGTCCCAGTCTTGCCCATCTAAAACACATACACATTGTTACGAACCCATTCAAAACACACTTGTGACAACAGCTTACCCAATAAGGAACTTGCCAGAAGTTTCCTATCACCAAATTGTATGAGTGTCTGTCACAATGGAGTTAGCTTGCACGCTCTCTACTTTGCCCTGGCTGTGTTTACTACGTTTCATGGCCCTGCTAGTAACACTGTCTTTTCTTTTGTAACCAAAGGTCAGTTTGTGACCCTGCTCCACTCCCCACCTCCTCTGCCTTAGTTTCTTCTCACCTTAGTTTCCTCATAAGAGTAACCAGTCTTAAAGTGTCAGGGCAGGCACATTATTGATGTATCAGTGAAGAGCCCCTGGGCGCAATGGAACTTGAATTTGATTTTCTATTACCTGTGAGGGTGAGTTAGTGAACAGACAGCCTTGTACTCTGTTCAGCGGCTTCCCTTGCTGCCTTTGTAATGGAAAAAGTAGAGACCCAGAACATTCTCCCGTTTCTCTAGTGTTTACTCAACACACACTCTGTGCTACCATCGCCATTTGTGGCTTCTTTCCTATTTGCTCTTGTAACATGAGAAACAGTGTGGAGGTTTTATGCTTGTTTTGTAACCAGCTATAACCATTTCCTTTTCTCTGCCTCTGACTATAAACACATTTCCTTCCTGGTAACCATTGAAAATCTATATCTGACCAGGTTGAAACCAAATGAAGTCATTTTGGTTCCATTGGTGACAATCAATTAAATATAATTCTGTTTACATTTAGAATGGGTTGTAAATTTAAGAAAATGACTTAAGCCCTACTTAAAATATTTTTTGGCTCATAAAACCATGAAATAATTTCTGTAATATGAGTAATGAAGAAGCTTCATATTTACATTTACCTTTAAATTGCT